ATTATTATTAATATTATTATTATTATATTATATGTCAGTCTTATTTTTTAAAGACCTATACGTTGCAATAGGAATTTGCAAAAGAGAAAAAAGCATAAACTTCATATCAACATAAACAACATTTAATAAGATGCAATTTTAAATCGATTAATTCGTCGCTTAGAATTAATAAAAAAAAACATGCCAATGCATAATATATTGTAAATATTTTTAATATTATGGATCATTTTTTTTTCTTTCTTTCTTTCTTTCTTTCTTTCTTTCTTTTTCTATATTCAAGCGTTATTTCCGTGTTTTAACGATAATTTTAAACGAACAGCATACTATTTACAATTTTATCTTGATATATACAGTATGAAATTTAAATGTTTGTATAAACATAATCATTTGAATGCCTCATTATATTTTTGTGTAATAGTATGCACACTGCCCTTATATTAATTTTTTATTTAATTACAAATGAAATTAAATTATATTATATTATATTATATTAAATTAACACACAAAACGAAATCGTCCAATTAAGTTTGTCTTCTTTTTTTTTTTCCACTAATTTATATATATATATATATACATATACACACACGCAAACACAATATTATTAGTAAGAAGAATCTTTTGATAGTGATTATCGATCAATTAAATATGGCTTTAAATATATGCATATTAAACATGCATCATTTGCAATATTTCTATAGAAGAACCAATAATAATAGCTCTGGATTAAAGGAAACATTCAAATAGATACTTCTGTGTGTATAATCATAAAATGTAATAACTTAAAAAAAAAAAAAAAAAGAAAAAAATGATGTAAAAGAAAATCTACATAAAGAAAATCTGCAACGAAGTTATTAAACGTAATTAGATAAGAAATACAGCTTTGCATTAATAGTCGAAATAATTGTTATAATTAATGAAACAAGCCAAACAATGTTCATAATTATCCTTTCACTAATATTACATGCTACAAACACGTAGACATATAGCATAGATTTAAAGTAACAATGTATTTCCCATCTTTTATTGAATGTGCCAGCTTAGGGGGGAAAAAAGAAAAAGAAAAAAAACAGATAAGAAATCTGCGCAAGGATAAGAAAAACAATTAATATTTTAATTGTATCGACTTTGATAAAGTCAATTACAGGAGACACGTCTTATTAAAAACTTAATAACATTTCAATGTTCTTTCAATTGTAAAGCTGTTACAACAAATGTTTTTAATATTAATACTCACATTATTTAAATATTCTTTTTCTAATCATTTTTAATTTTGAGCTTAATGAATCGCTGTTAATTGTGCTTACATCATAAAAAAGATTATGAAATGTATATTCATTAAGCATAATGCCTATAAATATATACATACATATTTATAAAATACAATTATGAGATGTATTCAGGAACACAGACAAATTTTCCAACATATCAAAATTAACAAGTTTAGGTGATAATACATGAAATTCTTCAAGTGACGCGATACTTTGGGATATTATAATTGCGATAACTACTCCGTTATAACTTGAGATATTTTTCTGATAAATTATTATAATAATTAATTATGTATATATTATATTCATTGTCATTTGAAAGTATACACACACCGACTCATTCACTAATTTCACTCATTCATTCATTCATTCATTCATATTGAAACTCTACAACAATATTCAACGCATATCATAAATATGAAAAAGAAATTGTTCATATTAAATTATCATCGTGTCTTGACGTATAATCATATACATACACTGTACAAATACTTAATCTACATCATCAAGATTTTTTTTCTAAATTCTCCGTACTTATGAATGTCCAAACTATTCGTATGCATATCATGTTTTGATCAAACGTTAGTTTTTCTTTTATAATGGGTGTACGATAAAAAAAAGAAACAAAAATAAAAGTGTTTAGTGTTAATACAAGTATTTTCCTTAATATGCATACTTACATTTACTTATTACAATCTCTTTTGAATAATTATAGCGAAAAAGATTTTATTCACATTAAAATTTTTGAAAAATACGTATTTTAGCCGCTTGTTCACTGTCGATAAGTTAGATTACAAAATTCTTTATCGAGAGAATTTCTTGAAGATGAGCACACATTTAATCTGTTTTATCGACGTGAATGTTATTTTTTGTTTTGAATACGCTTGTAAATACATGACAATATTTAGTGAAGTGACAAAGATTCAAGAAAAGAAATTCGTTATTTCAGTTCAACGATAAGCGTGTAATAAATATTGATTTAAAAATACATTGCACCTTATTCCTCACATATATAAAAGTTGATTAAAATTTTCATGTATTTTGACCTATGGCCTTTATGTCGAATCGAGCTTGTAGATAAAAGTTTTCTTTTTTTTTTTTTGTTTGTCTGACTATCGCTAACGATACGAACGATAGGAATGAATAGTTAGTTCGAATAAATAAGTCTTTTTTAATATCGCGTCGAACATGAATTGTTTGACTGGTGAAACCGAACGTTTAATTAATAACGATGTCTTTCTGTCAACTGCTCCAAGTCCTATGGAGCTGCGTATCCAAGAAACTAGAACTGGTCAGTTTATTGTTTGTTTATTCAATATTTAAAAAATCATTTTTCCTTATCAAAATTGTTATTTATATTAATAATAATATTATAGGTTCGAGTATGCTGGGTACAATATTTCTAATCGTAAATGCTACTCTTGGAGCAGGTCTCTTAAATTTTCCGCAAGCCTTTGATAAGGCAGGTGGTATTGCTACTTCTATAACCATTCAACTAGGATTTTTAATATTCATTACGGCTGCTCTTATCATATTAGCAAATTGTAGCGACATTACAAACTCTAATACCATACAAGATACTTTAGCAACTTTGTGTGGATCTAAATCGCTTTATGTATGCGCCCTGTGCGTTGCTGTGTACAGTTTTGGATGTTGCTTAACGTTTTTAATCATCATTGGCGACCAGTTAGACAGAGTCTTGGCTACTTATTATGGAATGGATTATTGTCACACTTGGTAAATATTTCAATGTTATCTCTAATGTTTAATTAGATTTAAACACCTACTGAGAATAAAATTATTATTGTTATTGATATATATTTCAGGTATATGTCTAGACAGTTTGTTACCATTGTCATTAGTTGCATCTTTATATTTCCATTGTGTTTCTTCAAACGATTGGATACATTAAGTTATGCTAGTTCTGTAGGTTGTATAACCATATTGTACGTAGCATGGTTGATCAGCTATAAAAGTTTTACAAAAACAATTCCCACTGCTGTAAAGATATGGCCCGACAATGTATACGAGGCATTGCATATTGTTCCTATTATATGTTTTGCATATCAGGTTTGTTACACAGTTGTTTTTAATTTATCGGAACATTTATAAACTTTTATTCAATAAATTAATACGTTTTATTTTTTAATTATCTTTTAATAGAGTCACATGACTGCGATACCGATGTATGCTTGTATGAAACAACGACATATTGGAAAATTTACGATATGTGCCATAGCTAGTATGCTCATTTGTTTTATCATTTATACAATAGTCGGTATTCTTGGATATGCCACATTTGGAATGGGAAAAGTACCTAGCGACATACTTCAAGGATATTCAGATAAAAGTACTATTGTTACCTTAGCCATAGTTTCGATAGCCATTAAGAACTTTACGACATATCCAATCGTGTTATTTTGTGGTCGGGATGCGATTCTCTCAGCATTTGGAATGGTAGTTAATGAGAATGTTAAAACGAGAAATTTTGTTACTTTAATTTGGTTTGTAGCATCATTGGTTATAGCCATATCGGTGCCAGATATTTCTCCAGTTATTAATTTGTTAGGTGCTTTATCGGCTACGTTTATTTTCATATTACCAGGAATGTGCCTTCTTCAAAGTATTCTCCTCAAAGATCCAGAATTGTATTTGAATAAGGATCGTTTGCTCATTCTCTTAGCGATTACCATTACTGCAATAGGTGCTTTTGTCTGTGGTATAGTATCCATAGAAGCGCTTAAAGATTTGAAGAAACCATTAGCCGAAGAACCTCTGGTAACGGGTTTTAGAATACAACTGGGAGAAAGTTTATGTTCTTAACTATATCGAATTTTAATATGAATTTTATCCAATGCAATATTGAGAGAATTAAGACGTTGGAGAAAGACTGATAATGATGTAAATATTTGTTTATTTTTATACACTGCATGGCAATCAATAAATAATTAATAAGAAAATTTTTGTTTACGAAAACATACTTTTAACTCTTATGTTAAAAAATTAATTTTAATTGGTATGTCTGTATTATTTGAGTATATTTTTTAGATGAAAGATGTATCTGATAAATAAAAAGTGTGTTATTTTATTATAATATTTTTTATACATCTACCTGTTACATACCACCAGGTTTCATTAAAATTTTATTTAAATTGTACTAAATAATCTCATATTTTGTAATATATTTTTTCTAACACAGTGTACACATTTTTTTAGATGAAATTCTTAGCAATACAAAGATCACAATCAAAGTTGCTTTATTGAATCCTTAAATAAGTTTTTAGAAGTATCGTCAATATTAACAACTTTGTTTATTATCGCCTTGCAGAAAAAGCATTCTTTTGTATTGAGAAGATGGCGATTGATACACAAATGACAAGTCATATGACCACAAGGGATGAATTTCGTATTTTTTAGGTAAGCGTAACAAATGGTACAAAGATTTTCATCGTCCGTTAAATTTTTTAAATCTGGTAAATGACTATAACAATAATCTAAATAATTCAACATTCCTCTGACTTTGCTGATTTCTTCATCCTTTATATAGTCTTCGTTAAGGTTTTCATAATCTAAATCTAAAACGTATAATGATAAATTATATGTAACTACAATTATTTATAACACAAATTATATAAATTATATAAATTATATTAAGAAATATTTCTTTATAAGATTATACTTACAATTTAAAAGTGAGAATCGTTCTGTGCAATTATTTTTTTTCTCTAGAGATTGTGAGTTAACTTCTCCTAATACGAAGTATAAGGAACTCATTTGAAAACTGGGTTCTATTAATAACAAACGCGTAACTCTAGATACTGTCATCTTAGGATTTTCTGGATGATAAATATGAAATAAATTGTTTGCGATATTACATTACTTACGCTTTTTATTACATAAGTTATACTTACGTCTATAAGATGACATGTCTTTTTTAAGTATTATCAGTAATATTCCGATGACTGCTGTTAATAGTGGAAAATAATCTAATGATGCTAAATCTGGAATACTCCATGACAAAACCTCTTGAAAGGTATTGTTTTTCGAACTCATCCTGTTCAATATTTGACACAATAACTAAAATAATAATGAAGATTTCGTTAAATCGTATCAAATTTTATTTCTAAATCGTTAAGAAAATAAATTAATATGAACTTTAGTGCTTAATAGCGACACGTACTTGAAATAATCTACATAATAAAGTTTCGCAATTGAATATAGTCGGTGCCAGGAAACAAAACATTTCTAAAACTCTCAGTGACGTGACTGCTACTTCGAAGCACGTTGAACAAATTCTAAGTTGCCTTGAATCAATGAATATTCTTTCGGTACTCAAAGAACAATTATAAATTTCTTGTACCATACCAATAAATTCAGAGAAAGCCCAGTTTATTTGATTCAAAATACAATTTAAGAATAGTTCAGTGTTTTTCGACTTTCCTAAGAGCCTATCTCTTATGTGCAGTTGAAATACTATAGAAGGACAAGGTTCTGAAACATATTAATAATGAATAAGAATATATAATATTAAATTAAAAATCATTAGTATTTTTTAAGAAGGAAAAGTTAAAATAGAACACACTTGGATGATGCTGATTTCGCAGACGGATTGATTTTAGTCCAGATTTTTTATTTAAATGCGGAATTTGTTCGTAACGAAATGCGAATCCATGGCCCTGCCAAAATCTCATGAGAATCCAACTGGAATGAGCCCAACATTTATTTTCTGAGGGTTTTAACAGATTTCGAATAACTCTCAGTCTATTATCCAAGGTTACATTCTCTAACGTGTTAAGCGTAAGCGGATGGGATACGAATCCAGCAAATATTAGCAATAGTGTCTCTTTCGAATTAACATTAATAATCAGTGGATTCATAAAATGGCGACAAAGAAACTCGCTAATTTGTAACAGGATTTGCGGATAATTCGGTATCACTTGAAGAGGCGTAATAGGATGAATTTCAGTGCGTACAGCTTTGCATAAATCAGAAAGAGCATCGAGATAAAATTCAGGTACAAAACAAAACATATTTCCTTCCTTGCCTGCTAACCACAATGTCGTCGTTACTACATTTAAAAACCAACCAATTTGTGCTACCTTTTCTTCTGAAAATACTGTTGCACGAACCCAAGCCATCTGTCTTGATAATTCGTATAATTTTTTATTGTAGACTCTCAAAGTATTTAATAATTCTTGTTGAATTATTTCAAAGAAATTACTACGGTAATTCGTAATAAATATCAATCGTTTTTTACTCTCTGAAAGAGCAGTCGAAAATTGAATTATATTTTCTTGAAGAGTGCTGAGTTTGGACACTTGTTTCTTTACTATCGCATGATAAAATAATATAAGGCTATCCAATAATATTAATAAGGAATTGGGCTTGTTTACTGATTCTAAAGTCGGTAGCAATTGGTTTTCATTTTCTGTATATTCCATTTGCATGTCATTTTCGACGTTTCTGTGACCAAACAGGGATATAGATGTTCGAAAATTCCCTCTTCTTGCGGAACGAGATCGATTTTGTGATTGTTCGATAGAATTAAACACTTTGTGTTTTGGACCCAAAATGTTCATCAATTCCAGTTTATGGGTTTTTTTCAAATAGCTTAATACTCCACCTAATCTATCGATATGAAAGTAATTGATCGTTTCGTCGTAGAAGTATCTATAAGAAAAATCGATACGATATTGTTAAAAAGTTTTCTTTTCAAAATAGAAAATAAAACTTACGAGCAAGGAATATGAATATTATCGATTCCAATTTCTTCATTCCATAAATCTCTGAACACAGTCAAAAGTCGATGAAAGCTACAGAGACTAAGTGCCAAAGGAATATGATGTAATTGCGGTTTTGTCTGGAGGAATACTGTGACTGAATATTTGAAATTAAATGTAATCCATGGAAAAGAATAAATGTGACCAACGTCTCGTACTTACGCGAAGAAAATTTTCGTAAACAAAGCTTTGAAATTTTTTAAGAAAAATACTCCTCGATGATTCCTTAGTGGTAGTACCATCGTTATTTGTAAGTAAAATCTTTATAAACAAGACTTGCATCATCTCTAAATCTGTAATAATAAAATCAAAATCAAAGATCAAATGAATCTATTATGGAAAGATTAAGAAAATAAATCATTTTTCGAAAAGTTTCTTACCTTTTATTAACAATTTAATGTTGTCGCATGCTTTAAAGTACATAAACTTTCTTGAGTTAATAACTTCATCCATAGGATTGGTTTCCCACCAAGGTTCAGGAATGATATTTTCTAGACCCATATCATCCATCGGTTTAATGTAAATAAAATTGAAAAATCTTACACGATCAAAAAGCTCATAATTTATACAGTAATGTCGAGTCGGTGTATGCAGACACAAATTAATTAATAATGCTAGAATATCATATTGTTTCGAACATTCAGGTTGAAAGGAAATGTGTCTGAACAGTGAATAAAGAAGGCTGATAACATTTTCCAATAAATATTTAACTTCTTCGTCTTCCAAGAAAGTCCATAGAAGATCTAAGAAAGTCATTACTTTGATTCTATCTTTGTTAGAATTAAGCGAAATCTTAGCACCAACAGATCTGATGTTAGTAATATCGTATAAAAAAGGAATGAAGACAACTTCGATGATATATTGAATAGTAAGCAAAGGACTGAGTTGCTTTATCAAATCCTCTAAAATGCAATTGAGATATGTTTGTACCGTCATTGAATTATCAGCCAAGACACTGGTACCATTTAAATGAATCATGTAATCTAAGATTTGGTTAATCCAATGAATTAAAAACGAAGCTTGTGCAATTTCTATTTCTGGTGGTACTTGAATGGGTTGATAATCCTCTATGGGATATCTAAAAGGAATATCTCCAAAAATAGCTGTGAGACTTTCGCCAAATGTCAGGCTTATGGCTGGAAAGTAAGCCATACCAGGACCCATAGATATATTCTCAAATGCTTTGCCAAGACTTCTTCCATTTCTATAAAAACTTATTATTCCTTCATTCATGTCTAACGTACATCCAATGATATCTCCAGGTAGCCATAGTTCTCCGTATTCAGAAGGAATAACGTTCCATTTTTTAATACGACTGCCATCGTATGAATAAGAATTGGGAGTGTCTCCTATCAACGATTGTAAGAATATTAAATTGAAAAAGATAAATATTCTTAGCAATTATATTTGTGAAATAAATCTTTATGAAAAATACTTACCAACTCCGGTCGTTATATTGTATTTACAATTTAAAGTTCCCCAGCCAATTTGCATTATACCTTTGGAACCGAGCTGTACCTCGTACATCCATTTATCCTTATAAATCCCAGTATTAGCTGTTATTGTACAAAAATTTCCTTGAGCAATGATGCTATTTCTATTAGACGAAGATAGGAACAAACCAACGCGATTGTTTAAATCAAACTTAACTTCTTTCGGTCCGATGCGGCCTATCCTGTCGTCTATTAAACTTTCTTCGCAAACAGATTGTATTAATGTGTAGCGAAAGTAGGTCTTAACAATTTCTATACTATCTGTTGTACTAAAAAAAAACATAAATTATTAAAAAGAATCTTATAAATTTAACGACAAAGATTTAAATCGAATAAATCTACGAAAAGAATTCGTTCGTTTCTATATAAAGGATTATATTGTCTCCGATTACCTCAAAATATTTGTATTGGATGTTTTCGGTAAAGTCTTTCGCATTTCCATAACATTGTATTTACCAAAAATATTTTGCAAAATTACTTCGGCTTCCATATTTTAGATAATTGTCAAAAAATCAAAATTAGCATTTAACTATGGCACACCAATTGTAATAATAAGTGACACTTTTAAATACGAGAACGATTAGATTTTCGGTTGAAATGAAACCATGCAAAAAAGGTACACATCGTGCCTAGACGGAATTTCCCATCAACAATTTATCCTTCATACATCTATGACAAATTTAACGTTTATTTAAATCAATTGATTTGTATACAGACACATCGTGCCATTATTATATTCTCCCTCTCTGTTTCTCTCTCGTGACACCGACGAGTATTTTTATCACTGAATTTTGTTCAAATTTTCGATACATCAAATTACTTGATTTTTCTCTCTTCTCTTTTTTCTTTTTCTTTTTTTCTCGTATAAACATAATAATTACTATAATAAAAGGGATAGCAAATGATGATCAAGGATACGCGAATAAAAGTACAATATTTGATTAACTAAAAGAGAGAATGAACAACAAAATCGACAATTAATATATACATATACGCGCATGAGCGTATATTTATCTGTCATTCTTCACATTTAGCGGCATTTCTATCAGCTGATTGATTGACTGACTTATCGACGGAACACGCGCGCGCTTTCCCTCCTCCCTTCCTTATCGACTGTCAAATAAGCGGCAATTTTTAAATTTTTAAATTAATTCTCCGTCTCTTCTCTCTCATTATTATTTCATTCTTTTTTATTTTCCTCTTTGAAACTTATCAAATAATTCATATTACAAAATTACTTCCCAATGGAATAAAATATTTATTTCTTTTCTTATATATTCAATAAATAAATAAATAAATAAACAAACAGATAAACAAAAAAACTAATAATAATAATAAGGATTACAAGGAATAAACGAGCATGATGGATGTTTTTAATCGATCGAATCGATACAGAGCCTATAAGTTCCTTTATTCATGTTATTCATGGTATCATCATTAGCCTTATAACACAGAATCATCGAAGATATTTAGGCATTTATACTTTCTTAAAATCATCAATATAAAGACGTAATCTTTTTTTTTTTTCTTTTCTTTTCTTTCCTTTTTTTCCTTTTTTTCGTGTTTTGTTAAAAATTACGTATTCAATTACAATTAATCGAGAGAAAGAGAAAGAGATCACAAAGAGGAATACAGAGATGGGGGAAAAAAGGGAACGAAGGGGTATTATGTATGTTGGTTTGTAGGGGGATTGATTAATTAATTAATCTTATTTCAGTCTCTATCGATAAAGATGGCGAATGGTGAAGGGGAAGAACGGGGGGCTTAATGAGGGAGACACGACTCCTATATTATAGAAATATCATCGAGATTTAAAAATTTTCGTTTAAAAACGACGACAACGTTTTAAAAAACAAACGCACAATTATTATACACAACTTTGAATAATTCACAAGGGGACAAAAGGGGGTCTCTGGGGGGCTAGGGAATTAGTCTGGAGGAAAAAGATTGTGTGCGTATTCACAAACTTTGGCATTATCTTATTGCGGTGGGTATAATAATGATTGCGATGGTTTCTTCGTTATTTCAATATTGTATAAGGATCCTTAGATCATAATAGTAATAATAATAGTAATAATAATAATAATGATGATGATATAATAATAGTAATAATAATAATAATAATAATAATGATAATAATAATAGTAATAATAATAACTATAATGATAATGGTGATGATGATGATGAATAAGATAATAAAATAAATGAGTTATACAATTATCTGATCATTACTTTTAGTAATTTATCTTTTTAATCCTTTCGTTACTAGTGTGACCCATATATGGGTCTTCCATGCAAAGGCCCTCATATTAATGATCTACCGACCCATATGATGGTCTTACCATTTACGTTCCATACCGTACGAGCGAATTTATATATAACTATACTCGTGTAAAAGTATGCCGTGTAACAAAAGGTTTAAAGATTTTAATTAGAAATTTACCGTTGTTAATTAGATTCTTTCAGAGAATATTAAAAGATGATGACGATGATGAAGAAAAGTGTATAAGTGTATAATATATGTATATATGTACAAGGTATCTGCAATGAAAGGTTTTGTTTTAATTAATTTTCTTCTTCGTTAACAGGATATTTCATTGCAAACACCTTATTTGCGTATATAAACGTCGTTTAACGTTGATATCAATTTAGTTAAGCGTATGAATGTAATGTATTTATGTATGTATGTATGTATGTATGTATGTATGTATAATATTTTATTCGCGAATATATTTTTCCCAATAATATGTGTACGAACATTAGCTGAAGAAATGCGACATGAATAAATTGAAGAGGCATTATACATTATTAGTATATTATGCATGTATGTATGTTATTATGCATGTGTAATTATGGCATATGTATGAGCACATGTTTGGTCTTTCTTATACACATTCGTTGAATTCTCTTGACATCTTTCTCTCTTTCTCTCTCTTTGTCAAAGTTCGAATTCAATCTAAATACTTCAATTGCTGATGCGAGATATACGTTTGTCTGTCTGTCTTTCTTTCTTTCTCTCTCTCTCTCTCTCTCTCTCTTTCTGTCTTTCTTTCTTTCTCTCTCTCTCTCTCTCTCTCTCTCTCTCTCTCTTTCTTTCACACACACACACACATTGTTAAATACCATAATTATTGTATACTTATTTTTTTATTATATTTGTTGATACTTTTGTTGTCCATTCCTTTATTTTTCGTTCGTTTGCTTTCCTTCTTCTTGAATATATCGAACATTGCTGCGGTATTATAGTACTTATAATTAAAACGTATACGATATACTATGTTAAATACACACATGTATATCTATATATATATGTATATATATATATATATATACACAGAGAAAGTTAACAATTAAATGTTCTGATTTTCCTAATAGCATTTTTATAACTCATCTTTCTTTTATGGGTTCGAGAAACCTTTGACAAAACCTTCCCAAACCTTTCCTTAACATTTTCGTGGAGTTAATAATAGCACATGATGTTCTAAAGCAATCACCTATCCTCATACTAAACTTGGTTAATCGTTGCTCAGCTTTATTGATACAATTAGAACTAATATATTTAACGAGACAACAAAGCTATTGATCCTCTGATTATTATATATTTTTCATAAGAAAATTTGGAACGTTTTATCGTAGAAACTCTGTGTATATGTATACATGAATATATTTATATGCGTAAAATTGTCCATATGTGTATGCATACGTATATATACTACACATTCATACATACACGTATACTTGTACATATATGATATATGTTGCTAACTATTAGGATACTGGCACGTATAAGAGAAAAGATCACTTCCAGTATCTTATTAGATCTCACTCGTTCGTTATTATTTTATTTTTATTTTTATTTTCTCACTCTTTTTCTTTCTCTCTCTCTCTTCTCTCTCTTTCTTTCTTTCTTTCTTTTTTTCTTTCTTTCTTTTTCCGTTCGTTTTCTATTAATTATAATAACATACTGTAAACGAGAAGCTTGGCAACGTTAAATCTAGCTTCTTCGGATAAAACTCATACTCGTATATTCGTTTGCGCATTAAAGGAACATCGAACGTGTTTATATTATTTAATCATAAACATTATCGTTAAATCGTTATTAAGATGAGGAATTTTTCTTCTTGGATATGCTGGATTATTATTTCGCGATTTAAAAATAAATTACATACATATATATCGTTAATAATTCTAAGAGATTATTCTCGCGTATATAATGAATTAAATAATCTTCTTATTCTTCTTATTCTTCTTCTTATTCTTCTTCATTATCTTCTTTCATTTCTTCTTCATCTCTACGTGAAATTATTTAATATTCGATGCATCGTCTTATTTCTCCTCTTTTCTCCCTATTCATTCCTTTCCAATTCAGGATTTGTTTCTATACGTTTTTGTTTTTCTTTTTTATCCTTGTCAAATTATCTTTTTCTTTTTTTTTTCTCTTTTTTTTTTATTTCCTTACATTTTTATTAATTCTCTTTCTCTCTCGTTTGATGACTAGAAACGTCTCCCCCTTCTACGCTGGTTCATATTTATTTTTATATTTATTTTTATCATTATTTTACTTTACTTTTTATTTTATTTTATTTTATTTTATTTTATTGTATTGTATTTTGTATTTCATTTTAATGTTACTTTGTTTCACGTTTATTTGGTAAAAAAATTATATGCGAAAATGGAAAAGATTCAGTAGAAAAAATAAACTCGCGCCCATGGGACGATAGCCGGCCCATTCTACCTAAGCAAAAAGCTTCCCTTTCTTCTTTTTTTTTTTTTTCTTTTTTTTTCTTCTGTTTTTTTTTCCTCTATGTGAAAATTATTTCTCTTTCGATTTTCATATTCTTTTTTCTTTTCTTATTCTTTTCTTTCGAAATATCATTTAAAGGATAAATGATAAAATAATGTAAGGATCAATGGTGTATATATATCATAGGTCACGTATATTATTATTATTATTATAATATGCTTCCAGATAAAACGGACCGTGCTATCGGCCAACGAACGATTTTTTATCTCTTTTTTTTTTTTCTTTTTTTATTATTATTCGTCCTCGTTTTCTTCTTTTTGTTTTTCTTCTTCTTCTTCTTCTTCTTTTTTATTATTTTTTTGTTTGTTTGTTTTTCTTTCTATTTATTTGTTCTCTCGAGAAACTCACGGAGGAATTACATAAGTTCTTGGCAAAAGTGATGGGCGGAGTGACTGGTCGATGTGGAAAGAGATAATGATGATGATAATGATGATAACGATGATAATAGTAATGATGATGATAATCGCAGATCAGATTTATATCTAAATCGAACAAGTTAATCGATATTATTATTATTATTATTATTATTATTATTATTAAATTTTTAAATTATATATTATTATATTATATTATATTATATTGTATTATGTATCATATTATTATTATTATTATTATTATTATTATTATTACTTGCGTATATCTTTAATTAGCTTGTTCGGCACTCTGAGCTTGTTTTTCGATTTTCCTCGCGAGTTCTGGACTCATGTGAGGATGCGGAAAAGGTAAAACTGGCTTTCGAAGGATCGTTGGCTTGATTTTGACTTGAGGTTTAAACGAGGATACCTGGCTACCACCCGTCAAATGCATATCCGCGAATTTGGCGACTATTTTTGGCGTTGATCTAGGTGGTAAAGGTGAACGAAGCGTTAAAGAATCCGAGATCTGATTAGTACTTGCTGATCTTACGATTTCTTCCGTTCCTTCTATATCAGCCGAGTCCAGATGATCCGTTGTTTCAAGACGTTTCAATTTGGAACCTTCCGGATTAGTTTTAGTATTCTTTTTCAAGGTACACTGATTTTGTTTAGCGAAGCGTTCAGCAGCAGTACTCATGTCGGGTGATTCAGGTCCACCGGTTGGTGAAGTAGCTGCCTCTGTTGTTCTGTTAGGTAAAACGACGCTGGTCTCTTCGTCGGAACTACTTAAACTATTAGACGACGCTGACTTTTTACTTGCATCTTGAGCCGACAATGGTAAATCCATAACGAGATCTGGCGTTTGTTTTTGTCGCATTTCTCTAAATTCTTGAGAACTCCGATAAGATTTGGTGGTTGATGAGGTCGTAGTTGTTGTATTGTTACCTGGTAATATCGGAGGATTCAATTGAGTTTGGGAAGTTGCTCTTCTTTGCCAGAGTTCTCGATTAGCCGAAAACGTTGTTTGTTCTTGTTGCATATCGTCCTCCGCTGATTGTCCACCG